ATATCTCATCATGATAAACAAAAATAAATTTTTGACCCACTTGGCAATAATTTCAAACAAGTATATATATACAGTATTTATTTTCATTAATTCATAATTTTTTCAAACAATAAAACAACACATAACCATTTACAAACACACCCATCACAACACATTAATAATGGTTACCTTGTGTCTTGAATAATAAGTTCCCCTTCACAACTCCTTTTTCACCACTATCTTTGTCAATATAATCTACATAATTATTTCACAATACTATATATTAATTTTACATTAAAATAAATAACTCTAATTTAAAGAGTTAGAAAGTCTTAGATCTATAATCCATATTAACACTAATGTAAGATTTATGCCTCATTTAACTTCCCAAATTCTTTTTCTAAAATTCTCGTACCCTAATAAACTATTTTTTTATCCTTAAATCACTTCTCGTATCACAATTTCATCCTTCTATATTCTAAAAATTCGTCTAAAAATAAATTAAAAATTTTAGAATTATCCTGAAGCCTCAAATCACCTTTCTATAATCTCAAAAATACCTATTCATACTTAAATAAATATTTAATAATCATAGATTTATCCCTACATCTTAGATTCCACATAAATTCAACCATATAGATCTAGATTTTAACTCAAAAATTCTTAAACATGAGTTTCAACCTCAAAAAAATATTCTATAATATTTATTATATTCCTAAGAGTTTTAAACTATATTTTTAATCCATCATATCATCAGATTAACTATCATATAGAAAAATCCTAATCAGAATATTTACTCTATCTTACAAAATAATCATATCACTAGAAAGCTAATATTATTTAGAAAATAACTATAAAATTAATTTTTTAATTAAATAAATTTTTAAATGCTAATCTAAACAGGAAAGTTAAAACATACCTGAAGAAAAAGAAAATAATCCCCCCTTGCGAGAAAACACCGAGCAACGTGAGAGGAAGAGAGAAAAATAATATAAAAATAGAATTGTGGTCCCAAAATCATATTAAAAAAAATTATAAGTTTGAATTTAATTATTCAAACCTTTGGGCCATTACTTGCAATTTTCACAAATTGCATCTTGGGTCTTTAATTGCAATTTTCACAAATTGCAGTAAAAAATTCCTCATGCTTCCTCCACAATGCACCTCCTCTTTTTATACATGAGAAGGTGCCTTTCATTCCCGCATCTAACCAATGTGGGACTAAACCCCCTCCCCCTTTTTTTTTTACTTTCTTTTCTTTTCTTTTTTTTTTCTTTTTAACTCACACACACACATTAATAATAATTTTTTTAAATCTTAAAATTATATCTTAACAAAATATTTCTTATATAATTTTAAACTTAAGTTTTTAATTCATAATTAAATGCCTAACCATATTATTATTTTCAAATAATCTCAAATAATATAAATTTCTATTATTATCATCATTTTAAAAAAAACTTAAATTTCATAAATTTTTTTATCTAAAAATTAGGATGTTACATCACCCGACCAAAGGCTCTTATACTCACTCTTGGACTATGGGTTCCCCTTACTCAAATTTTAGGGTGTCACAAGTGCCCGACCCATACCATCCAATCTAGGATCAGTGATATTAAGCATCGGCCTTACCCATCATGATCAAACTTAATGGAGGCCATACCACATGAATTTACCATTCTAATCTTCTACTATTCCAAGGTGAACTTCTACCCATCATGATCATGCAAGCTCATTCAACATATGCAAATATATATTCATGCATATCTTAATAGCTTAACACATTCATAAACAAAACATGCAAGTTATCACATGGCCATAAAACATTTTTATCACTATTAGGCTTGTTTATCACATAACATTAATGCAAAGTCATTATATTAACAATCATGTCCATATTATCCACCTTAAACCAATGATAACACAGCATAACTTATAGTTGCAGACACTATGATATATAATAATTAAAATTTTCGGTTACCTCAACTCTTGGTTGACCAACCAAAAGTACTCATGAATATTAAATGAAATCTCCAATAAGCTCAATAGCACCAACAATAGTCAATCTACAATTAAATACACCAATAGTCATTAATGACTAATTATCCTTAATTAACTCTAATCAAAGCCTACATCTAAAAATCATATTGTAGTCATCTACCATAACCAAATCCCTTTTTAGATTCCATTAGTTCACTTAGACTCTCATTAGTCTAATCAACACCACTAATAACTTATAATCTTCCTATATCAACAAATTAGCTCTAGGGTTTACTCCAAACTCTACCTTGAAATCCTAAAACATCAATAGCATCATAACTCAAAAGTTAGACATTTAAATAAACTCTCATTAATCCCATTAAAGTTAGAATTTTAGGCAAACTCATAACTTATTTTTGGATTCCTAAAGAACTACCCAAAAACTATGGTGAAAATGCACAAGAGAGGAAGAGGAGAGGTTATAAGTACTTACCCAAGTGATTAAAAGTTCCAAGTAGACTCAATTAGATATCCACAACAAACCTTAGCAGAGTTCTTTTTGTTCACCTTCGAACTCCTACTCAAAACTTTAATTTTTTTGATATGAAAAGCGAGTTTAGTAGCTTAAAAATCAACTCTTGGCTGCGGCCAATAAATCTTTTGCTGCAACCAAAGATTAAAATTTTAGATTTCAAATATTGTCCATCTAACTGAGCCTAAATATGGCTCAATACCACTTAAGGTCTAATTCTAAGCCCTAATTAGGATCCAATAAATGCATTAGCCTTTCGGACATTATCTTTTAATCCAAGTTAACTCTCAATTGTCTAATTTGTCCTTAATTGACCCATTAACCTTAAATTAAATTTTCTAGGATGTTACATTTTTCGTGTAGCATTTTCACCCCTTAAGTAATTAATTTAGAGCATCCACTACCTTAACGTTAACTCACCACATGTGGACTGCTATAATTGCTAAGTTGGACTACATCTTGACTGAAAATACTGAGTTGAACTAAATTTCCCTCTATCTGCAACCTTCTCTCTCCTCTCTCTTTCCCCCTACCTACTTTCTCCAACATCATGCATGCATGCATTGCTTATGCATCTTATAACTGAAGGTGGTTTTCAGTCTTATGTGGTCAATAGAGTAGCGGTGAAAGAGGAGGAGCTACTACATGAAGGTGACAACTATGAATAGAGAGGGAGATGAAGGAGACGATTAAGGATTAACAGCACTGATATCTCTGTTCTTCCTTGTTTTTGTTCTTAGAAACAGAGGCTGATCAATGATCATATTGTTTACTTTGAAAGGCATCATCTATAGGATAACTAACAAGATCATGATCGACACTGGAAAGGCATCAACATGAATGGTGTGGATTGGCTTTTGTTGCTAATGGAGAGCATAATGGGTTGTTATAACCTTCAAACATCTGTGGTTGTCACCATCGTCACTGCAAATGCTAGCACACAACTCGTCTTCCTCACTATCTTCACTTTGAACATCCACAACACATCTATCCTAAGTCATCATGATCACTCTATGGTTGGGGAAGAATGTTAAAAGAGCTTGAATAGGTGGTCTTAGAAATTTAAAAAATCACCATAGGTGTTTTGGTTAGCAAAATCATTGTGGGAGGCCAAGGAAGAAGTAAATCACCATTGGCAATGGAGAGGATGAGCTTCAAGATTGACGGCTATGAAGAGAGAGGAAGATAAAGTTGTCGAGCTTCAAGGATGGCAATTGTGAACATAGCAAAGGCAATGGCTTTGAGATAAATGGTAGAGGTTGTGAAGCTTTAAGCTTCATTGGAAGTGGGTGAGCAATGATAAGGAGAAGAGCAAGTATGTGACAAGGGTGTCAAATCAAGCTTCCAATATTAGAGGGAGATGATAATACTGAAGACTGAGGCAGTAGTAGAAGAATCATCATCAAAGGGAGATGATAACAAGTCACATAAAATAAGGCCCACAAGAAAATTTTAACGAAGTTAGTATGGATTTGACGTCAGTGTAACATGTACAATGAATTAATTACATTAAGGGAAAAAATGCTACGCGAAAAACATTATGATACTAGGTGCTCTTCAGAGAAAGCATCTGAGGCAAAAATGCACTTTTAGCCAAAAACAATTATTACTATTTTTTTTTAAATAAATAGCTTTATTGAGGAAATGATTAGAACATAATATCAAATTACAAATTGCTCTATACAATTTTTTTCATCACTAAAATTCAACAACTAAATATTAGTGACTACTTTATTTTAGAAAATGACTAGTTTTCTTGTGAAAGTGATTAAAATAAAATAACAAATTACAAGTTCTAATGATCTTTTATTTTTTTAGAAGGGTAAAAAGGTTTTTTCATATTAAAACTAATTGACATATAAAAAAAATAATTGTCATATTTTGCTTTACTTAATTTTTATTTACATATTTTGGGTATAATTTTCTTTCATTCCCCTTATATTTTCTGTAGACGTAGATGGGATAATTATTTATTAATTTTAAGGGAAATTTAGCATAGGTCTAAAATTAATTATTCAATAACATTATTTGTAAACCTCGATCAACTTGTAAACTAGTGAACTGGTTACCTAGCTAGTTTGGTTAATTAAAAAAATCAATCATCTATAATTTGGCTTTAACCTGATCAAACTCGGCCAACCCAATAGGTTAATGAGTTGACTCAGGTAAGATTTTGTTGTTTTTACTTTTTTTTTTATTTTTTTTTCCTTTCTTCTTTTAACTATTGAATCCCAATCAAATATAAATTTCTTGATCAATAATTTTAATGTTATTATATTTTATTATTGTCAAAAACTTATAATTATTATTTTTATAAGGCATACATAAAATTTTATAAATAAATTTTTCATTTACTTAAGAATTAATAATTTTTATTTAAATATTATAGTTTTTTATGTGAATATGTTTTTTATATTTAATTAAACTATATTATTTTAATCGTGGAGGATATTATTCTAGTTAATTAAACTACTCACCTCTAAACTACTAGCTTAACCGATTCAATCACTTGTTCGGTTCTCAGTAGCAAACTCACCAACCATAACCCCAACCAAACCCCATCTCGTGAGTAGCGGATTCACTTACCTCGACGAGCAACAAGCATTCTACACTGCGTTGGACGCCGTCCACTGTCGTCAGCCCTGCGTGGTTGTTCTCGGTCCGGTGACATCGATTTGTTCAATCTGGCTTTGAATTTAGATTTGAATTTGTCCCCAGCGTCATCTGTTCCCGGCGTGGTTGTTCTTGCTTTGCTTTAAATTCATTTTAAGTTGGCTTTGAATCTGTTGTGTAATCATTTGAATGTTGATGCTTTTGAATTTGGGAATATTTACAGATTGAGTTTATTTATTTATGTATTTTTGGATTCTAGTTTTTGCTTGAATGCTGTGTAATTCGATATTATACTTATCCCCTGTTCATTTTGATTACTAGCGACTTGTATGATTTTGATTGTGTTCTTTTGCAATGTTGGATTTGTTGTGTATTGGCATTCTGCTTATTAATCTTTTTATATTATCATCAATTCAGAAAATTCTCAAGGTATTTGTGATGTATGATTTTGGAAATGATTTGGCTCGAGTTGTGTAGAAGTATCTGTAACAAAAATTAAAAGGGTATTGTATCAACTATGCATATTTCAAAGATTTCTGCCCCCACTGAGTGTAATATAGGTCCTCCTATATTGATGGCATCACTTTATATACAGCCTAACCTGTATGTGTGTGTTCAAACGTAGTAGAATAGCATATAACGGTATTGTACAAAATCATTACATATTTGGTATGCTTGCGCCTTGCTGTAGATTGGTGAATTAATGAACTATGGTTAGGTTCAGCTTTTGGTCTTATTATGTGCAAAAATTGTGTTCATCTTTTGGGTCAAATTGTACAAAATAAAAGAAAAGGTTACAATAGTCCTAAACCCGAGCTCAGTTTGGATTGGTTTGGATTGATTTGGTCTTATCCTTGGTTTTTCCAGGCATGACCAGGAACCCAAGCTCCATTTGGGCTGGGCATTGGGTTGATAGTCAATCTAGCACAGCCCAGTTTGTGTTCACCCTCATACATTTATAAAAGTAAAAATATAAACTGCTCCAAGTTTTTCTCTATGAAATATATTACCAAAGGACTATTTTGGCCCAAGAAAATGAAGGATTTTTATCAGGGTTGTATTAAAATTGCTATCTGAAATGTTGAATCATTTCTCATAAATTTGGAACTCTAATCCCAAATCAAAGCTGCAATCCTGCAACTATACAGCTGCATGAAGACATCGTCCCCATTTTTCTGGTCGATTTTGAATTTTCTTCATTTTTTTTTTTTGAGCAAAACAAGTAGTGCTAGTGCTCACAGAGTGTCATGCAGTAATTTCAGGTAAGGTATGATTTCGACACTTAGCTGAAAGCCTGAAATAGTAGTTTGCCTATTATGTTTTCCTTCGATGTTTGGTTGTTGAGAAATCTTGGTGAAACAACCAGAGTGGCTTACAATCCTAGAAATGAAGACCCTTCATTTGTTATGATACTAAAGCATACCCTCACTCTCTAGCTATATAGGGCCCTGACATTTTCTTTGTTTCAGGTATAATCAGGTATCACAATGCCTGATGTTCAGTCCCTTGCTAGTGATTTCTTGAATCAACTTAAGAAACGGTATATTTTTCTTCACTATCACTGATAGAGTTGAATGAGAAAAGATTTAGATACAATCTTGTGGGACTGAGAACTCATTTCTGTATTGTATTATGTGGTGTAGTAAAATTGAAGGCTCTCAGGCCACAGCAAAGCAGACAGCAGAAGTGCTTCGGTCTGTGATTTCTCAACAACGGGTGCCTCACACAAATCAGGCTGGAGCTCTGATTGATGCAGTAAGAGCTGTGGGGGAGCAGCTCATTGCTGCAAATCCTGTTGGTATGCTAAAAAATAGTTTCCTTCAAAAGTTTGCATGCTTTGTTCTTGTCTTGACCACAATTTTTATTCCAGATTAGCATGCGTTGGGTATTTTTTCTACCTGATTGCTTGTGTAAGTTGAATCATGTCTTCTAGATGCTTTTTTAGATCATCATATTGTGTATGTACGGTGTATGTGAATCTTTTGTAATGTGCATAAATTGTCTTTGTTTTTTTTTTTTTTTGGATTGCCTCAAGGGTGGTAATAGATTGTCACCATCCTTGGCATCTTCTGTTAATTGACTCCAGCTACGTAGTGAACATGTGGTTGGTCCTTATTTGGTTTTTACTAATTTACATGTATGTTCTAGAGAGTATATTACTCATTATCTATTGATTGAGGATAGTTGGGCTTATGCATTCCCTAAACTTTTTGGTAGTGCAGCCATCTTGGCCCAAATCATGTATCATGAGTCCTACATCAGGAAACCTCATAAGTTGAGTAGAATTTATAAGTATGAGGAGTTCTTCCACCAATAGGCTAGTTTTTTGGGATGGGTTCTCTCTTTGGACTCGTAATCATAATGCTACTCCTTTTATTAAGAGACCGGTGTCACAGAAAAGGCTACCCATGGAGTGTTCTCACTAGTAGGAAACCAAGTGAAGTACTGTGGAGTGGAGCTATTGAGGACGTCGGCTTTCAAAGGGGGTAGCATTGTCATGAGTCTCACATTGGGAAGCCTCACAAGTTGAGTGGGGTTTATAAGTATGAGGGGCTGTCCCACCAATAGGCAGGTCTTTAGGGATGGATTCTCTCTTTAGACTTATGCTTGTAACACCATGGATTCCCAAGCCAGTGATTCCCCAAAGCCCACTGCTACCAGCAAGCTTTTATTATTAATTTTGCATATTTATATCTTGTTTTCCTATCATTAGATGGTATGTTTGTAATTGCAGAGCTAGCTGTGGGTAATATTGTAAGGCGAGTTTTGCACATTATAAGGGAGGAACATCTTTCCCTTGCAACGGATGCTATTGCTGGTTTGGGAATATCAGCAGAAAGCGATGATGAAGATGATGTGGATCGAGATGATCATCCTGTTCTATCTGCAGCTGCTGTTGCCGCTGCTGCAAGAAGCACTTTGCGTCCACCATCATTGCAAACTCTTCTAGAGGATGTGCCTAATTCAGCTGCCATTCCACACGCATCTTCTTCAGGGGGTGAATCTGAAGGAAAAAGTAGATGTGAGATGACATGAGACTATAAGAATGTTATATCCTCATTTAGTTATTGAGTCTATCATGATATGAGAATGCCATAACTTGGATCCATGCTACTAGATGATTTATTTGCCTGTAAAAGTCACTGGCACTGATATGATTAAACATTGAGTCCACGCTGTCATGTGTCATTTTATGATAATTGCCTGTGTCTTCTATTTAAGTTTAGTAATTGTTTTTTAATTCTCTTGCAGCAGCCGACAAAGGTTCCCGAGGTCGGAAGCTGAAACACGATGTCATTGAAGCTGTCAATGATCTTATTCAAGATATTGCCACTTGCCATGAACAAATAGCAGAGCAGGCTGTAGAACACATACATCACAAGTACTTCTTCCCCTAAATGCTCTAAGAGGATGTTAATATTTTTAGATTTCCCTGCTATTCTCTAAGTCCATGTTGGTTGAAAACATGTTAGTAGGAGCAATATTTGCTTCCATCAAGCTTTAATTAGCTGGTGAAAAATACATTGAATGTTTTCTAGATAATCTAGGGTCTTAAGTTATAGATTGAATGTGTTAGTGTCATATATATTAGAATTAAAATGAAGGAAATTTCTGTGTTAATGCATTCTATTATAAAATTCTTTTCTTGTACTAATATATGTTAAATAAGGGAAGCGAATGGCAACTTCAACTGATTCAATCTTAAGTTTTGGATCTGTAAATGATACTTAAGATCCAAAAGCATATCAATTAGTAAACAAAAGTTTAAATTAACATAGGTGGTTATTGATATACAGATAGAGTGAAATTATTTAACTTCCCTTACCTCTTAATTATGAATATTAAAAAATTATTTATTTTTATTTTTATTCATTCAAGTAATTTATTTAAAATGAATTAAAAAAATTGACTTGCTGTTATGTCATGGCAAGCTGTTACTTTTCCTCATTTCTTACACAGCTGATTGCATGCTTTTCAGTGAGGTAATACTAACGCTAGGGAGTTCAAGAACAGTGCTGGAGTTTCTTTGTGCTGCAAAGGAGAAGAAGAGATCATTTCGGGTCTTTGTTGCTGAGGGTGCCCCAAGGTTGGTAGCAGTTGCTAACTAACATTTGCTAGGATTATGCCACCTGCTTTTTTAGCAATAGGGATTTATATGTAGTATTTATAAGATTAAATAGTGCTGAATGTATGTGCAATCAGATATAAAGGGGCATCTCCTTGCAAAAGATTTGGCAGCAAGAGGCTTACAAACCACAGTAATAACTGATTCTGCAGTTTTTGCCATGATATCCCGTGTAAACATGGTACTTGTAAATTCTTGTTCTATATCTGGAGTAGAATCTTTTACATTAATTTAAACTGATTTTGAATTTAACATTATGTAGGTTATAGTTGGAGCTCATGCTGTCATGGCTAATGGAGGAGTTATTGCCCCTGTTGGGTTGAATATGGTTGCACTTGCAGCTCAAAGGCATGCTGTTCCTTTTGTTGTACTTGCTGGGAGTCACAAGGTGAATTGTTAGAATATCATATCCATCTTTGCATCTTGTTACATTAAAGCAAATAAAGTCCTAATGACTTTTCACTTTTGATGTCTTTTCATATTTCTTGTCTTTCTCTGTTTAATATTTGAAATAGGAGACCACTTGACTGCCATACCAGTATAAGGGACGTATGTGAATAATTGTTTGTACAAGGACTTGAACTGGGATAGTAGTTTTATATTTTAATTCCTGTCCATTTTTAGCTGAAAACCAAGATCCATTCAATGGTTGGATTTTTTATTTTTATTTTTTTGCCCTTAATAGTTGGATTTACTTTTATGCTTTCTTAATTTAAATTTTGCTAATGCCTCTTAGTTCTTTCCAGAGTATGAGAGGTTTGCATAATTCTTTGACTGATGTTTCTGTGGAAAAAAGCTCTTTGATCACTGTCTCTGCAAGTTATTTGATTGAATAATTGTCAATACTGATAAATTGGGAATATCAAAACAAGCAAAGAAACTAGATGATCACCAAATAATTATATTGTCAAATGTTGTATTTCATATTTTCTTTCTTCCATCTCTAGCCTCATGCTGAGTTATGGAATTGTGTACTTTTCATGCACTGATCATAAAATCTAATACTAAGAAACTTTATGATCACTTTAAGAATGCTCTTTTATCTGCCTCCTCTTATGAAGCTTGAAATGGTTTGAAGTAAAACGTTTAATATAAGTGGGTTGTAATGGTGATACTTCAATTTGGCTAAACCATATCTAATATGTTTTCTGTTGGAAACATTTCAATTTCTAGCTTTCAGGCATGCTTATTCTGTTGACAGGAGAAGTGGGGTTACTGTCTTAAATTTAAAATGCTCATGCTAAAGTATATGGCCCAACTGCTTAATGTGATTGCTGGACACTAGCACGTTTACAAATAGACTAGTATAACAGCTTCTTGTTTTGATATTAATGTTATGGAAAAATATTAGTTGATATTTGCTGCTATTCTGACACCACTTGGTTTACATAGTCTTTGCTGGGTGGGTTACATTCAATTAATGGAGTACTGCATTTCCTCATTTGGTGTCTCTGGCTATTAGCGGTTCTGGCTATGTTCCATCACACTCTGGTCATAATATAGACTTGCAAGATGGCTTAATGCACAGTATGTGACTGATCTGGAAGACAACCAGTAAATAACTGATGATTTGGGAGTCTATATCAGAAAACTTTTGACCTTGATATTTGGAATTGAATAAGTAATAACGTTTCGTATGTTGAGAATGGTAAAGCTGCCTCCTAGTCATTGATTCAGTTAGGATGTTGCTTCTTGATACAATGCTATTACAATTGCTTCGATGAATCCCTGGGTTTCTGTATATTAATAGTAGGCAGTCTATAATGCCATAGTCTGGTTATATAACTGGGTTGTGATTTGCTTCATGATTATGGTGATTAAAAACTGCTCTCTTTTTGACAGTTGTGCCCTTTGTATCCTCATGATCCTGAGGTCTCGCTGAATGAGCTGAGGTCTCCTTCTGAGCTGCTTGACTTTGGGGAATTTTCAGATTGTATGGATTCGTCAAGTGGTGCGGGTTCTCTTCATGTTGTTAATCCAACATTTGATTATGTGGATCCAAAGCTTGTTAGTCTCTTCATTACTGACACGTAAGTTGAGCTGGGTTTCAGTGAAGAATCTTTTTGGCTTTCCCCTATCATTAGCTCTTGCAAACTATTATACTCAGTTTCCTTGTGCATTTTCTCGTATGGAAATTACTTTTTCAGAGGTGGCCACAACCCATCATACATGTACCGGCTCATAGCTGATTATTACTCTCTGCTGATGATTTGGTGGTGAACGGAGGAACTATTGCTGGGAGTTGAGTTTTTCCCTTAATTTGGTAACTAATTAATATAGGTCTGCAGCTGTTAATCAATCTTGAGGGGTGATTGTACTGAAGAAGCATTAGCACACATTTTTTAAAACTGGGAATTTTTTAGAGTTGCTGTTTTGCTAAGATCAGAAGAAGAATGTAATCCTATATAGGGCTTTTTGGAAAGCGCCAAGACATTTAACTCATTAGTAATGTATAGGAACTGGCCTTTCTCTGGACGGTGGTGGTTGATAACTAGTTCTACTCAATAGAATTTTAACCAAGGATGTAACTTCTCTTATTATGAGTCAATATTCACATGGCTTTTGACAATCAAGCCATAAAATTATGTTTTCTGGTAATCTCTGTTACGAGTCATTATTCATATGCCTCCCCTCTCCCAATTTTTGAATCCCAAAATTCTGGGAAAGAGTTATAGATAAGTCTTATACAACACATTTAAATACCATAAGGTCTATTGACAATTTGGCAAATCCTTTGCTTAGTGTGTTCTCTCTCTCTCTCTCTCTCTCTTTTTTTTTTTGTTTGAAATTTAGGGAGGTAGGTACTATTGGCCTGAGATTATAAGTGATAATTGAACCCATGGCCTGTCACTGATAGGGGAACTTGCATGCTATTAGGCTGCAAAGCCATTGGTATTTTCTTTGCCAAGTTGTCAATAGACATTGTGATATTTAAATGTATTATGTGAGACCTCAAAGTAATTCTCGGTTAATTGGAAACATCCCATTGACATCTCTCAGGGAATTATTTACCTTTTCATGCTTGATTACCAGCGAATGATTAGTCATGGGCTTGAGAGAAGTTAGAGATAAGTTGTGTGAAAAGAGAATAAAGCTTGTGATACTGTGAGGATTGGATTATCGAGGACTATTATAATGACAATATCCAGTGAGACAATGGAATTCCATAGTGCTGACACTACTTGAGCCTGTCCTATTAGTCCCTGTCGATGAAATGTAACTCTTTTCTCTGTCGGCCTAATCCTATGATGGATAATGGCCGTGTTTTCCCTCAGTCAATATATTTTTCTCACTTTTTGAGCCCCTAAAAATGATACTTGTAGCATGAAATTTTCATGTTTTATCTTTGCAAAAGATTGTTTTAAAAGTCGGATTAAATTAAATGGTTGGATTAATAGAACTTTTGACTGAAGCTGTCGATGGCTTGATTTGGATAAAAACATTTTTTTTAATTGAGTTGGATTAGGCTGGGCTTAAATCACTATTAGGCTAAAAATTGAATTAAGTCAGGGATTGAAGCGGTTTTAAAAAAGTTAGATCGTTTTGAATTAATATATTAAAAAAAGCTTAAAAAAATTGAGAAATTAAATATCTACTGAAATCCAACTTTATTTAATTAATTAACACATAAAATATGAGTTGAGATTATTTTTTATAAAGAGGTTAATAGATATAAATATAAATGCAGATACTTTTAAGTTATTCATATTTAATTTAATTAAGATTTATTTATATTTTACAAGTTATAAAATTATAATTTATAATATTATTAAATTTATTGTTATGTTATCTCATTTTATTAATAATTGGCATACTGTAGATTTTTTTTTTTTATATTGTTATTAATATATATTTAATATTATTTTTATTTAATAATTACATTATTTGTTCAGCTACTGATTTAACCGATTAGATTATAAAAATCATAAATCATTGACTTATTCAATTTAACATTTGGTTTGACTTTTAAAATATTGTCTAAGTTTATAGATTATTATGGCTTTGAGGATTTTTTCCCCCACAATGCGGCAATATATTACTGTAAAATATACTCCCTTCATTTTGAACTGAAAAACACTTTTAAATTAATTTAATTAATAATATTTAAAATTGTGCATAATTTTCATTATTAAAACTTTATCAATTACACCTAATTAAAGACATTTTTAGAAAAAGATTATTAATTATACTTTAAAAAAATTCAAATGTCTTATATTTTTTAATGTAATATTTTAGAAAAAATACATTATAATACCGACCAAGTGCTTATGAATGTGGGGAGTAATAATTTATAGCTTCGATTTATTCGCATAATTTAGTTGTATAAATCATCAATCAATATTATAAAATTCATAGCAAGTCAAATGATTTACTTTTTTGGTATTTTTTTATAGGTAGAGAGAAGATTAATTTTGATTTTTCTATGTTCATCTTTATTTTTATGTCGTTTTAAATGCTAAAAAATTATTAAAAATTAAATATTTTTATTCTTTATTAGAGATAGAGGTAGAAATTTATTAAATTTTAAGATAAAATTAATAAAATTTAAATTTTTTTAATTCCAATAAAATATGTTGAAAGTAAACTTATAACTAAAATTAGACAAATTGCAAGATACTTTGTTTTTTTTTTTTCTGGCCACAAGGGAGTACAAGATATGAACAATGTAATTTTTTATAGGTTTCACAAAAACTAGATTTTATACATGCATGGAGTATTAACTTAGTTATAATGTAAGAGAATGAGAAGAGATAAAATTTTAATGAGTTTACCTAATTGAAAAATAGAAGTTTAAAATTCTTTAATCCTGATAAGATTTTACATGTTAAATTTTACATGTTTAAAGAGAGAAGTAAGTAAAATTACATTTTAAGTGTTAAAAATATAAGCATCGAATTATTTTTTAAAATTTATTATCATGTATAAATTAAAATTTTAGAAATAATTTTTTCATGATCTTAGAAATAATTTTTTTCATGGTGTGACACCTATCATTTTCAATTTGTATAATTTTGATTTGAATTGTGTTGTATGTTTCAAATATATATTTTTTATTACAGATTTCCTATTTACCATTCATTTTTCTTTGACAATTTTTTCTAAAATTGAGATCCATTAATTTTTATGAAGTATTTTTTTATATTTTTAAATTTTATTATTTATCTTATAAATATAATCATCTCTTTTTTAAGAAAAAGTAAATTTCATGATTCTCAATTGTCAATGTTAAAGGATCTATTTTTCTTTTTTTTTAATTATAGATATCACATTTACCACTAAGACTTTTACTATTATCTTTTCTTCTCAATTATTAAATTAATTTTAAAAATATTATATATTATATTTTTTAAAATAATATTATAAAAAAATTAAGAATTCTTATCATAGATTTGTAGCGATTAGATTGAAAATACTATATATAAAAAGTATTGATTATAAATTATAAATATAAGTAGAAAGATAGAAAACTTACATAAAGGTCCCTTGTAGTAAAGTGTTCATTTAACTATTGAATATCTGAAGTTATAATTATAAAAAATAAAAATTATAATTATAAATTGCTGATAAAATGATTGTAAATTAATTATTTATTAATATAATATATGTTTAATAGAGATCTTATCATCTGTACAATTTAATTTTAAATTATACTTAAGTATTAAGAAATTTGGGTGTAGTATTTGAATTTTGTGAGATTTATTTGTAAATAAGTCTACTCATGAGACCTTATACATAAGTTTTCTTAGATAGATATTGTTTTTAAAAAACAATAAGAGATAATTTGAAAAAAAAAAATTGTAATTTTTTTAAATATTTTATTACATGGGCATTCCATGGATCAACCTACTGCCAGGTTTACCTTGTTGCTCTGTGGTTTTTAGACCTGAAAACATGAAAATTTACTCGAACTCTGGTGCAAGGAAACCATGAAGGATCGAAGGCAGTGAACTTTGACATTTACATTATTTTATAAGAATAGGGCTACGGAAAACAGCAAAAAGGACGTCTCTGATCTGACGTCAGTGATCTGCCACCAAACGACCAAACCAGGGATAATCGCCGTACGTAATTGCAATCTTGAGATGAAATAAAAGCAGCTTACGTCGTTTCGGTCCTTGTCCCCTGTTTAATTATTTAGGGCTCATTCCCTCCCAACCTCGCCGCCGTTGTCGCCGTCGCTCGCATACTCGAACCCAGTCTGAACCGGTTCAAGTCCCTCATTCTGCCGTTCTCGCATCACACTTGTGCTTCTCAACTCTTTCCTCTCGTGGTTGCTGCCTCAACAATTGGAAGGGGATCCAAAATTCTCTGTTAGTCTTTGGAATTGAAGGCAGTTAGCTCTCAATTTTGCTGATTTTGGTTTGAAAAAATTAATCTTTAATCCTCCAACTTTTAAATCACTTATAACTCAGTCTCTCAACTATGACTTATTATGACTCAGTTCTCTCAATTACGACTTACTTATGACTCAATCTCTTAACTTTTAAATCACTTATAATTAATCCCTTAACTTTTGTTAATTTTTTTTTCATGTTAATTTATATCTTACATCAATGAGCAAGAAGAGGATATTTTAAAATAATATATAAATATTTTTTATCCCTTTTATTTGATAAGAAATTTTAAAAAAAAATTAAAAATAAGAATCGAGTTATAGGTGAATTAAAAGTTGAGGGACTAAATCGCAGCGAGTCATAGTTGAGGGACGAGTCGCAGTGAGTTATAATTGAGGATTGAATTACAAGTGAGTTAAAAGTTAAAAATTAAAAAATTAATTTTCTTGGTTTTATATGATTTAGGGTGTCAATTTGATACTAGTTTTTTTTTTCTTTTTTAATTTAAAAAATTAATCTTTTAATTCTTTAACTATAATTAATAAGACTCAATCCAAAGTTTGAGAAAATTAATCCATGTCATTAATGAATCAATTATAATCTTTCATGAATAATCTGATGTGACACAAGTATGTAATTAAAATTTCTCCAAC